TACATGTCATAAAAAATAAATAAATAATACAAATGCGTGTCATAGAAAGCAGTGAATTTAAATTTCTGACACACATAGACACCCTGCTACAACACTAACTTCATGTTTTAAAAGAAATTATGAGTAAATTGTTTTCGTTTCGTGGAAATCATTGTTTATTTTCATGTTCTGCTGCATAGACCCTTATAACTCTAAGCAGAAAGTGAGTTCTTAGGAGTAGAAGGTTCTGCATTTCACCTGTTCCAAAAAAACTCCTTTACAAATTTGATAGGATTTTGATTTTGTACATTTAGAATAAATTTAGGGTGTCTGTCATTTTCATGTATTACAGAGACGTGTTCACATATCAGTTCTGCTATCTGGAAGGCAAAAAACTCAATATCTCAGAATGCAGAGAGAACCTTATAATTCCAAGGAGTTGATTTATGGGGTGTATCCTAGTTCATGCCCATGTTAATGCCCATCACTGTGTTGAATGTTTGTACCCAGTGTGAGGACCTTTAAGGGGCAGTGCTTCCTTTTCTTGTCCTCTTTTTTAGTGTTAAAAAAACAAAACCATCAGATTTGGTTACACTACATTAAAATCATATTCTCTTATTTCATTCAGATTTTTCACTTTGTGTAAATAGGCCTCAACTCTCTTCAAAGCCAATAGGCACACACACACTAGCAAAAGATTAGCCTGTTTTTTGGGTTCCTCATAGATAAACAACAAAATGTTTTCTACATCCTGAGGACACTTGGTCCCCAGAAAGAGCTAAATACACATACAGTGTGTGAATGTAAGTAGTGTACAGTGGGATTCATGCTCCATTATGTTTTTGCTCCTGAAGTGTCTGGACTAACCCACTGCAGTATGAAGCCATTTGGAAAAGCAACAGCAGCCATACAGACTGTCCCTGCATAGCAGGACAGAAATACAGCTGACAGAAGAATGAGAGAACAGTCTAGATGAGGACATTCTCATTAGAAACCAGAGCAGGAGCTGGATGTTCTGTAAAGTCTCTGTATAATTTCTCCAAATTCTGCACTGATAGCCTGGATTGAAAGGCTACAGCCCAGATGTTCATGTTACTGTTACGCTATAGGGCACACTCAATAACAATAACAACATGGCAGCATCTATTAGCTGAGTAAGTTATACCATTTTTGTAGAATAACAGAACAGAACACCAGTCACTCCACAGTCATTACTCTCAGATTATAAGAACTATCCACACTGCAGATTCATACTAGATCAAAATTTAACCATTTAAAATTTTACTTATATTGTGTATAAATTCTTATAAGTTATACTTGGGTTATAATGTCATGTCTATCAATAACAATCTACACCCCATAATGATAGGTTTGTTTTCATAATGCAAGCTGGGAGTTTCACTAAACGTCTCATGACCATTACTTACGATGCATTATGTTTACAATTCATAATGCATTATAAACATGACTGTAATGTGTACAAATATTTATAGCCACAGTGTGTGTTATGAATGCATTACTGCATGTTGTGAATGTGTCCATAGATTCTTACAGACATGACTCTTATAAAAAGTTACCAAAATAATAAAATGAAACAGTGAGCGTGTTTACATGCACTCCATAATCGGATCATAATCAGATTTCTGCAGTTATCTAATTATTAAAATGATCATGTAAACAGCACATTCCGATTTCTTAGACTGGAGTAAGGTCAAAAAATCTGATTAAGAAATCCGATAAAGAGGCTGGATTTTAGCTCAGTAATCAGATTTCTCAGTCTGTGCATGTGGAGCGACGCTGAAACTGACTACATCCTTGACGAAATGAAGGATTTAAATATTCTTCATTTTCTAGATGATGTATGTTCATAATATCAGGTAAAGTGGTGCAATGTTTTTTAAAAAAAAGCCTCGACATAAAGTTTTACATTCTGTTTATGTCACGTCTTCTTTGGCGAGTTTATATATATATATATATATATATATATATATATATGTGTGTGTGTGTCTACATATATACATGTACATATATACTCATGGGGTCTCAAAACCCTGAGTGACTGGTTATACCACTCATAGCTAGAAATAGGCCTGCCATAGTGAGTAGCCTGAATATTTTTACATTGTTTCTGACAACCAGCCAGCAGAATCCAAAAAGACTAAACCTCGACCATCTCCAGCTCAGCTGCTGCTACACTTTGCGTCTGCCTGTGCCTTTGGGACTGAGGTACCATCTCCGTGTCCCACCATGAACTCATACTGGATAATACATAACATAAAAAATACATCAGCGTGCTTCACCGTGAGTCTTACATACACGTTTCTATGCAACCTTCCAACTGCAGCTCTGTGGCGTTCACGCCGGCAGTGAATCAGAATCAGACTCGAGTTTATTTGCCATGTGTGCTAGCATCTGTCCATCCACACAATCACACATCTCAGTTCACATTAACCACAGACATCGCATGACGGTACAACCAGGCGTGTGTAACTCTCCTGCACGCTGAGTTCAGGGGAGCAGAACGTGGACCTAATGCATTATTCATATTTGTTGCAGTTCAGATACCAATATTGGCCCATTCAGTGGCAGCTATACACCGAGACTGTAAACATATCTCCACAATGTAACCCGAACAGTCTTCCGTTTTCGGGACTGCACTTGTGAGCAGGACGTGATCAATTCGATTAGATTGGATTCGATTTTCTGCAGACCCAGTTTAACAACATTCAACTTTACTGGCCTCTGTGAATGGAAAATACATATAATGGTGAAACAAACAGTGTATTGATCATAACTGGAAATTCCAGCAGCGTTTCAATGCACACAGACCCAGAATCAGTAAGGAGTGCTTTCTTGCTTTTCTCTAAGCAAAAGCAGAAATGCTTGGTTCTTTGACCTATGCGACATGAAAACACAGAGGTTGGTGCCAAAAAATGCTGAATTTTCTCAAAATATCCAAAATTTAGAAAGCATTATTCATTTGCAAATCAGTTTGTATGTGTATGAAATGTCACACTGTTAGCATAGGTGTAGGTTATCAAAGATAAATATCTGATAAGCAGAAAGATCACTGGCTGTTTTAACAGTGCCAGCTAGCGTGGCTATCGTAGCATGGCTTAAGTTACTGTAAAGGACACTGGCCTATTGGGGAGCACTCATGTCCATCTTTACACGTCTTTACAGAAGGACTAATGATGTCTGGGAACTAAAAAAGGAGGATAAAAACCAAGCAAAATAGATCTGAATGACCACGAAAAACATGAAAAGACATGTGGACACTTATGCATACACATATAAAGCTGAAGCCAGCTTCTTATTTGAATTTTCCATTCCACCTTAAATGGTGCTGCACTAAGTCGCCTTAAACATAGAACGAATTCCGAAATTTGGCGAATACAAAGTCAACATCATCTCACCTCAATGAATGCATTAATTTACCTCAATAACTACATGAATTTACCTCAATAAATGATCCTTAATCAACAAACACCTCAAACTCTCTCTTGGAGGTGTTTAATGAGCAGCTAACGAGCAACACAGCAGAGCAGCTGTTGATCACGTCTCACTGGCTGATCCACCGCCACGTCCCAAACCACACACTTTTGTACTTCACCTAATACACTAACAAGTGCACTTCTAATGGTATATAGGGCTATTTTTACACACTATTTAGTGAGCTAGTATGCAGTTCGGGACAGGGCGCTAGTACTGCAGTGGGGAATCTCAGTGTGGAGAGGAGGGCGTGGCCGAGCGTTGAATGTGGGACGGATAAGCCGGTCTGGCTGAACCAGCGGGCTAAGTAGTTGATTATGTTCACCTGTGCCTTGTTTCTGCTAGCCTACTTATAGCCATCTCTTCCTTCAGTAGGTGGCAGAGCCCAGAGAGAGAAGGAGACTTATGAAGGCAGTGAGAGCTGAGCTGAACTGAACTGAACTGAGCTGAGCTGAACCAGAAAGAAAGAAAGAAAAGAAAGGACTGAAAAGTCCCAGCGAGCGTCTTGTCTTACTTTGTAGGGCTGAAAAGCAGAGTGTTTTGCGTTGTGTATAAATAATAATAAAAGAAAGCTCTCCGTCTTCACACCTGCCCCCGGCGTCTTTCCTCCACCCATCGTTAAAGTTGCTACACTCAGCCATTTAGATTTCAGCTTTAATTTGTTATCACTACAGCAACCAATCAAATAAGACATAATAAGGCAATACACTCAACTATATCAATTCATACACTTTAAAAATAATTTTTTTTGAGCCAGATTGGTTATGGCTTTATTATCTCAGTATATCGCATTCTCACAGTGCTGCTGAACGAACTTGATGTTGCCTATCAAAATGGTGGCAGCATAGATTGCAAAAAGAATCCAAAAAAGAAAACAAACTCAAATTGCAGTGTGCATCCTAAACCCCACAGACTCACAGCTTAACAGATAACAAGGGTCATGGATTCAATACTCAAGCAATAACAAGCAAAACTTAGTTTTCTCAAATCAGAGCAGATGTGAGAGTGAATACAATATTTAACGTAAATATTAAACCAGCTCTTGTTTCATCATCTTTTTTTAACCCCTTAAACTCTAAGAGTCTGTATGTGGGCCCACATGTCAATTCCTCACTTTAACTGAAGAGCTTAAACATTAATTTCATAGTAGACACTGAATTTATAGTAGATACTGAATAATTCATAGTAGTAACTGAATAATTTATAGTAGATGATGAATAATTCATAGTAAATAATGAATAATTCATAGTAGATCTCAATAATTACATTTAATAATCAAGATTTACTTCTCAGACTTCAACTCTTATAATGTATAGAACTTACATACATATCTAACAAATTATTATTACATACTAAGTTGTATTATTCAGTAACAACATGGAAAGCAGTGCAAACTAGCTTTTTTCTTAAGTTATAGTAGTGAGAAGTGGGCAAGTGTGGGCATGCTGGCAGCTCCTGGCCATTTAAGAGGTCAGTGAGTGGATAATAAGCCGGAATTCATTCCTCTGCATCTTTATCTGGCATCTTACCTTTCGTTAGTGTTCCTGAGACGAGTCTTTGAAAAGACTGGATGAGCTTGAGCACCCCCTGTCTGCAGCGGCTAGTGCAGCCAGCCATGGTGAGTGTGAAGGGGGTCGAGCTGCCCCCCTCTCCCCCTTCTAACAGATCCTACACACTGCAGAAATCTCCTTCTGCTGGAGACCCTTAGCTGGGTTCGAGTCTGAGGGCAGTCCCATATGGAACGGGCTGCGGTTTCCCCCCTAAAAGTCCACAGAGCTTTTTATTTCACACGGCTTTCATTAGGAAAAGGGAGGCTTCTTCAGGAGTTCAGCTCAGTTCTGGTGATGCTTGGTCAGACGGCGCACTCTTAAAGTCCAGATGATAATGTCCACTGCTTTTCTGGCTTGTTTGATGATCCGTCATGAGCAAACACACCCACTCAAAGCACACACACGCCCGCCGTCAGTCACACACACCTCACACGCTAAGTCTGCTGCCCTGAAGCCTCGTCTCTCTCCAGACGGAAGAGGGAGCGTGGGGGAACGCCTGCTGTCGGAAAGTTCTTCTGAAAAGGAAAAGTTGGTGTGCTGCAGGCTGCCAGAGGTGTTGAATTATTGAGCGGCTGGAGAGGACGTGCTCGAGCCCCACGCACACTCACGCACCTCTCTGCTCCGTAACAGCCAGGCGCCCATGGAGACGAGCATCAGTCTGGTCTGGATGGTCTCCTGGGCTCTGCTGGACGTTCTCTGGACTCTGCTGGACGTTTGCTGCTGGAGGTTGCAGGTTATTCTGCAAGATCTTCACTCACCTTTTAAACCTCTTGTGCCTTTTATTCTTCTGTCAAATGTGACATAACTATAATCTAAAGAAATGTAATCTAATGTAATTCTAATGTAATCTAAGGCATTGTGAGCTGAGTGGCTGAAGGCTTTGAGCTGCTGCAGTAGAACCGGCTGCTCCGTCCAATAGATTCCTGCAGCACTGAAGGAGAGATACTAACACGCTCCTTCTCTCTCTCTCTCTCTCTCTCTCTCTCTCTCTCTCGCTCTCTCTCTCTCTTTGTCTCTCTCTCACACTCTATCTTTGTTTGCCCCTCCCTCTCCTCTTCTTCTCTTCTCTTGTCTTTTCTCTCTCGCTCTTTTCTTTTTAATTCACTCTCTCATGCTTTCTTGTCCTGCCCCTCTCTCTCCCTCTGTCTCATCCTTTCTCTCTTTCTTTTCATTCTCTCTCGTGTTCTCACTTTTTCTCGCTCTCTCTCCCCATCTCTCTCTCTTTATCTCTCTTTCTGCCCCTTCTCTCTCACCATCTCTCTCTCTTTCATTTGATCTCTTTTGTTCCCTCTCCCTCACTCTCTCCTTAACAGTTTCGTTCTCTCGCTCGTCCAGTCCTGTCCGTTCTCTCCTTCTCTCTCATTCTTTATCGCTTATCTTCTTTCTATTTCTCTTTCATTTGCTTTCTTTCAATTCCCCCCTTCCTTCCTTCTTTCTTTCCTTCCTCTCTCTCTCTCTCTCTCTCTCTCTCTCTCTCTCTCAGTTCAGTTCAGTTCTGTATTACTATGAATATTACGGGTTATGTTATTGGGAATGTACTGACCACTGAGTAAAAAAGTGAAGTATTAATAAAACTTTAATAAATATGTCATTAAATATGAATACTAAAAATTATTAATATAATTTCCTATAAATGTTTGTTTAATGGTCTCACACAGCAAAGAGCTACATTACTGCCAAAGCTATAGACAATAAACATAAATCTTTCTCTCTCTCTGTACTTCTTCTTCTCTCCTCTCTCTCCTTTATCTTCCTCTCTCTCTCTTTTTCTCTCTCTCTTTTTCTGTTCTCTTTCACTACTCTCTTCCTTTCTCCTCTTTCTCTCTCTCTCTACCTCTTCTTCTCTCCTCTCTCACCTTTCTCTTTCTCTCTCTCTTTCTTTCTCTCTCTCTCTCTCTCTCTCCCTCTCTACCTCTTCTTCTCTCCTCTCTCTCGCCCTCTTTCTCTCTTTTTCATTTTCTCTTGCCCTCTCTCTTTCTTTCTTTCTTTCTTTCTTTCTTTCTTTCTTTCTTTCTTTCCTCTTTACTCTTTAGAGAAAGACTGTACAGCAGAAGCAGATGGTCTTTTTAAGGTGCACCGATGGGACCTCGACGTCTGATCCAGCTGAGACGAGGAGGCTGGCAGTTCAGTACTATGCAGAACTTTATGGTGCTAAGGACTGTGACCCTGACAGCGCTGTGGACCCTCAGGATCTTTCAGGGTTGGCCCAGGTCAGAGGAAGAAGCTGCTTGCTGATATTACAGCATCTGTGATGCTGTGGTTGGTTTAGTGTAGTGGGTAACACTTCTGCCTTCTACCTCTGCCTTTATCAATGTTTTTGGACAGTTTTGGGACAGGATTTTCATGAGGTGGTACTGGAATGTTTACAGGCTGGTTTACCCCCTGTTAGTTATGGGAGGACAGCCTTGCCGCTCCACCCTAAAGGCCAACTTAAAGTCTAGGCGACTTGCAGCACTGTAGGCTTTCACAGTCCTGCACCAGCATCAAAATGTCTGAATAGGACATCATCTGTAGTTTCTGTGAAAACCTGCATGACGATCCAGTCAATGAAGCAGCAGTGAAACACACAGAACAGTGTGAAAACAGCTGCTACAGTGAAACTGTGTTAACAGGAGGATTTTAGCTGCAGGGTCGCTACGACAACCGGAAATACTACTTTTTTTCCACATGCATTGTGTTTCACTCACACGCTCCTTCTCCATCATGCAGGGTTGCGGTTTTCCCAAAAATGCCAGTTAGCCTGGTAAATTACACTGGGGTGTTTTTCATTTGGACTACTTTTTAAAGTAATCACTGTCGTGGAAAAACATTGAAAATGAAAACAAACCGTCGTATAGATGTATATTGTTATGAGGTTCTGAATAGCTGGCAACGTGTTCTGTTTCTGAAAGCAGTGGAACAGCAAGAAAGTAAACGCAGCTGCACACTGTGACCACGGCAACAACACAGAACATAGAACTTTCGGAGTTTCTATCCAATCAGAGTGCACAAAGTGCCCTTACAGATTTTTTGACAAGGTCGGCGACACACAGACACACATTTTGTCTCTTTTATGTCAGTTTTTGTCGAGCGACGCTTGTCACCTGACTATAAATTGGCCTCGAGAAGGGAGATCAGGGTCTTTTAAAGAACCGGAGGCCTGTTTCACTGCTGTGTTTCATTGCTGTGTGTGGACTATAAAATACCAAGTGTTCGGCTCAAACATTGAAATGCTATTTAGACGCTGCGATTTGTGAAGATCAAACATATTGTGTGCCAGAGAGGAGGATTATGGATAATTTGCTCTTATTGAGAGATGAGATTCAGTTCAGTTTAATGAATAATGAGAGATTATTTTAGCAGCCAATCACCAAAAGCATGTGATAGAGCAAATCATACCTTTTTAAAACTTTGACAGCATCTGAGTTTAAATCTCAAAAATCTCTGTCTTCCTCTCCTCTCTCTTTCTCTCTCTCTTCCTCTCTCTCTCTTTCTCTTTCCCTCTTTATCTTCTCTCCTCTCTCTTGCCCCCTTCTATCTCTCATTCTTTTCTTTCTTGCCCTCTTTCTTTCATCTCTATTTCTCTCTCTCCTCTCTTTCTCTTTCCCTCTCTTATCGTCTCTCTTCTCTCTTGCCCTCTTTCTCTCTCTCTTTCTCTCTCTCTTGCCCTCTTCTTTCTCTCATTCTTTCTTTCTTTCTTTCTTTCTTTCTTTCTTGACCTCTTTCTTTCACCTCTCTCTCACTCTCTTTCTCTCTCTCACCTCTCTTTCTCTTCCCCTCTCTTTTCTTCTCCCTCTCTCTCGCCCTCTTTCTCTCTCTTTCTTTCTATCATGCCCTCTTTCTCTCTCTTTGTCTCTCTCTCTTCCTCTATCCTCTTTCACTACTCTCTTCCTTTCTATTCCTCTCTCACTCTCTCTTCCTCTTTATTTCCCTCTCTCTTTATTTCTATCTTGTCCTCTTTCTCTCTTTCTTTTTTTTCTTTCTATCATTCTTTCTCTCTTGCCCCCCCCTTCTGCTCCCAGCTGTCTTCTTTCACTTCGTCCACTCAAGGAAACACAAATAATTACCAGACAGACAGTGTTAGTGTTGTTTGGACTGACCGGAGCTGACAGCTGTGATGGACAGGATGATGATGCCTGAAGAAGGAGACAAGTGGGTGAAGATATTCTATAAGGAGATAAACACACAGATAAAGCAGACCGAGCCCACACTCCTCCTCTGTTACTGCATTTCTGTGTGTTGTGCTGGAGTTATACTGACCCTGCTGGTCAGTTCAGGTCCACTTTAACCATATAGGAGCATTAATCAGCAAAGTGTCATTACACGTTTATACGTTATACTGCTATCAATTATTCAATATTTGTTTAGAAATATTTACTATATCTACTATATCTACTGTAAATTATTCAGTATCTACTATGAATTATTTAGTATCTACTAAAAATTATTCAGTATCTACTATGAATGATTCAGTATCTACTATGAATGATTCAGTATCTACTGTGAATTATTCAGTATCTACTATGGATTATTCACTAACTACTATGAAATATTCAGTAAATAGTGTAAATAATTCAGTATCAAATATAAATTATTCTGTACCTACTATGAATTTTTCATATCTACTATAAATTAAACATATCTACTCTGTAAGTAATATGTAATTGCTGTAGTTATGCCATTAAAGAATGAAAATATGCAGACCTTTATGTTTAAGTAGCTTGAGGATTACACTGTCTAAATGCATATTATAAGAAATGAGATGTATAATATTCACGAGTATAATAATTCATACCTGTCACAGCCCAACGAGCTTTACAATGAAATAGTGAGTTAACCTCTTATCACTTGTATAAAAGGTAATGATGTAGAGTAAAATAAGTTTAACAAAATACAGTTATAGACAAAAACATGTTAGACAAAATAGGTTACACTGACAGCCACTTCTTAAAGAGTGATTTTATATGTAAAAACTGGTACTAAAGTCTGAGACTCACACACTGATACGCTCCTCATGTTCCTCAGCAACACGTTATTCTATTAGAGCCGCTCAGAATAGCTGCAACAGCTTTTCTTACAGCAGCTCTTTTCTCCTCCACCGCTCACATGTAGTCTGATATATTTTTACACTGTGTGGGAGCAGGCACGAAACCCGCACACACCAGGGAGGAGGAGGGATTTTAATTAAACACTGGCTTAATCGTTTTCAGTGATAGTTATACAGAGTGATTTGTGTTTTTATTGATTGGTGGATTAACACAAACTATAATAAATAGCCTAAATATGAACTATATTCAGTATTTTAAGCTGCTGAGATATGAATTCTCTCGCGAACGCTGCTGTGCCCAGATGAAAAATGAAGCAGTGGTATGGAAGGTTGTAATTGGGGGAGGTAAAACAGAAACGAGGACAAAATGAAGTTTTATTCGTCAGGCAGCTTCGGCAACAAGTCAGGAGACGATGATAAACAGCTACATATGACTGTGCGCTTTATTACTGCTGTGTGTCTTATATAACAGCGAAACTACATACAGAATGATTCAATATAGATACAGATAGAGAGAGAGAGAGAGAGAGAGAGAGAGAGAGAGAGAGAGAGAGAGAGAGAAATAGAGAGGAAGATAAAAGAGGGCAATAAAGAAAGAAAAAGGTGAGTGGGAAATAGATAGAGAGAGACAGCATAAATATATATGTGTAAAGAAAGAAAAAGAGAACAATTTGATAGAGAGAGAAAGAGCACAAGAGAGGGAGAGAAACAAGGGGTGAGACAGAAAGAGGGAA